TATATATATATATATATATCAAATGTCTCAATATTTTAAGGACAATTTTGAAAAGTCAATTTAAGATATATTTATTAATCTTAACTAAAAAAATATTTTCTAATTTTGATAAATTACTTATTTAAATTTTATAAGAAATATCATAGATAGTAAAATTTATAAAACTATAAAAATGAATGATTATTTAAACTTACAAAATATTTTGCAACAAAAAATATTGAGAGAAATGTATGTACTAATAATCATATTAAAATTTACACTAAATTAATATCTAAATTAACTATTTAAAAAATGGTGAGGGATTTAGGGTTTAGGGTTTAGGATTTAAAGTTTTACGTCATTCGGTTAAATGATTAAGATTCAAATCTTAATTTTTATGAATATAAAAAATTTAAATTGATATGAGATATTCACTTATTTTGTATCTGTCAAACTTCTAAAAGAAATTATTTTTATATTTGACTAATGAAAAAGAAAAATCCTAAACTCAACATACAAAAATATTTATATAATTTTATCTGTTAGTTTACATCTTTTCAATAATTGGTCTTTGATAAATAGAATACGTAAATATTATTAATTTCGTAAAAATTGTAATCCAGAAGGATAATTTGATAGCAAGATCAAACTTTCTCTTAACCTTATTTTAAAATAATTATATTATTCTAAATTAATTACAACAAATATTATTTCTTGAATTACGTAAAATTAAGGATGGCAAAAATATTCGTACTTATAAATATTCACAAAATCAATTATAAATTTTAAAAATATTAAAAATACTCTTAATTACATATAAAATAATTTAATTTAATTTATTTTACACTAAATATATATGTCATACATATTTATTTTATATAAATATATATTATAAAATTATTTTTAATATAAATATATTTTAAAATTATTTAATTTTAATTACCTTTTTATTTAAAATTTTACATGTTTTAAAATATTCACAAATATATAAAAGTTTCATAAATACTTACTAAATAAATAGTGGTATTAAAGAAGGTGAATGAGAAAAAAGAAAGATAGTATCCGTCCCATCCGATGTGATCCTATACTTCTTAAGTATGATAGACGTTCCTTAAATAAATTGACGACTAAGTCACTCCCTTATCTAAAAATCATTTGACGTGCAACTCATGAGTCATGGACCATACAAAGAAAGATAAAAGCATTTATAGGGGTGCTGAAAAAACTATATTAAACTAAACTATTATTAAAAATTAAACTAAACTAAACTATAAAAAATTAAACTAATTTTAATAAAAACTAAACTAAATTATATTTTAAGTTTAATTTTTAAAAACTAAACTATTATAAGAAGTAATTTAGTGCATTTTAATTATTAAAAAAAAAGTTGTAATTAGGAAATGTTCTAAATAATTAATTAAAACTAAATTAATAAACAACTAAATTAGATTAAAATAGAAAAAATTAAATTATTTTTATAAAAATTGAACTAAAATGAATTTTATGTTTAGTTTTATAAATCTAAAACTATTTTTTAAAGAGTAGTTTGTTAGACTAAACTATTAATAATAAAAAAAAAATTCTTATTATTACTGCATTTTTCGTAACTTTTCAATTTTTCCTATTGCCTACTTTTGAGTCGGTATACTAGTGGCTTAGTGTTACTGTGCATAACTACACATTTTTCTTTTTATCAATTTACAGGATTAAAAGAAAAAGTTAATTTTTATTTATTAATTGAATAAAAATTTATATACTTTTGGTAATTATTACTCTTTCTATATTTTTAATATAATTATTATAAAAATTAAAAGAAATATGATATATGTATTACAAACTTATCTCTTTATTATCCAAATAATTTTATTTTTGATGCTAAAAAATATTATTATTTTAATTAAAAAATTATAATATTAATTAATTGAGTTTAACGATTGAGTTCGCAACATTATAAAAGTAACGGTATACATTTTTATAATATTTTTAAAAGTCATACTATTTTGTAAAGAACGTATTAACTTAAAAAAAAATAGTTACATGTAATATTTAGATATTATTTTTAAACTTTTTATTTAATCATTAATAAGATCAGTAAATTGATTAAAAATTAATAAGATTTGATTGATTTTCAAAAAATATGAGTAAAAGATCCATCATGTGGACTTTTATCAATGTTATACTTGTTTTACATTTCAAACTATTTTAAATTTAATTCATAATTAATATCAATGATTTGGTAACTCAATTTAAAATGTTGATTTTAAATTATTTTTTTAATGTAGTTCAATTTAGTTTATAGTTAATAATAATTTAATTTAGTTGATATTATAGTTTAGTTCAAACTCCTAGAACTATAGTGCACTAAATTAGATAATAGTTTAATTTAGTTTAGTCAATATTTATTTTAGTTCAATTCAGTTTAGTGAACTATTTATTATAGTTTAATTTAGTTTTCTTCTAATTTAATTCAATTTAACAATTATGAAATGAAATGAAAGTAATAAGGTTTCTAAAACTCACGCGGTTCACCTCACGTGACCACCGACACACACTATGTCTGCGCTGTGGCTTCGGATGGTCCATAAAAAATTCTCAACTATTCTCAATAATTTAATAACTAAGAGTAAGAGATATTATCGAGGGAGTCTAAGGTCATGAGTATTCTAAGCCTCTTTAATACACGTTTCGATTTCCATAAATTTTAAAAATAACTACGCGCTATTAACATTAAAAAAAAAACGTTTTATATATTCAATTAGTATGATTTTGTTAATATGGTTCTTGAAGAAAAAGAATATTCATGAGTAATAACACTCTTTTAAATTTTTTTTTTTATTTCTCAAGTTTCACATATTATTTATGAATCGACCACTAGTTAGTGGTTGGGTGGGGAAGGGTTGGGGTTGTTAGAAACATGAAGACTTAGGTTTAATCCTTCTGCGACCATCTTTGTAATCTTTCCTATCTTTACAAAAAAAATATTATTTACAGATCAATCAAGATTTAGTAGTAGATATAACCCATTAAAACTTATGACTTTTAAGGAAGATTAAAATACTTTTTTAATCTTTACAATTTCACTTATCTTTTTTATTTTTATAATTTAAAATAATATTTTTAGTTCTAATGCTTATCTTTTTCAATTATTTTTAGTTCCTATAATTTAAGATGTATTTTTTTAGTTTTTATATTTGTAGTTTTAATCATTTTAATTTCTATTGTTAATTATATATATATATATATATATATATATGTTAGAGATATTTAATTTTGACACAAAACATCAAAAGATTTAATTTAAAGTAATTCTGATAAAATAAATTTAAAATAAGATAAAAAAATTGAATTAATATTATTGTCATGTTAACACAAAAGAGACAATGTTACAAAAAAAAACTAAAAAGATTAAAAAATTGTAAGTATAAAAACTAAAAAATTTATATTAAATTATAAGGACTAAAATAATTAAAAAAAAATACAAGTATAAAAATTAAAGAAAAAATATTTTAAACTATAGGAATTAAAAATAGATTTATAAAGACTAAAACATAATTTTAACATTTAATTAATTGTAGACAATATTAACTATATAGTAACAGAGAGAATGTGACTAGTATTTTTTGAGTTTTAGAATAATTATTATAAATGTTAATAAACTTATTGTTATGATTAGATAAAAGTATAGTACATATTTCTCCTTAATTTATGATTAAGTGAGAATATAAGAATATCTTATATCCTATGTATATTATCTTAGTATGTATTAATTAATCATGGTATTCTGTTAAAAAGATTAGGATTTAGGATTCAAAAGTTCACGAGTGATGAGTGTTGGATTCCAGTGGATCCTCAGTGCAAGCAGTTAAACAAGTAGATCCACCGACTTATACTGGTTGGTTTAATCTTAACCATGAGCAACCACATGAGATGGGAACGGATAAGAATCTTTGGGACAAACATTCGTTTGTCGCCTATGCATTTGAATAATTAGAGCCATAACTTACTGTTGAATGAGATGAGAGAGAGAGTGAGGCCCATCCACAACCATGTGTATTTCAGGATTGAATATGATCTGGACATGGGCTGTTTCCTACTGTTCCTCTCATTACTTTTGATCAAATAGGATAATATCACTACACATTTCCATGATGCTAATTGCTAGTGCAACCCTTATGTACACCTTAGCAAGATTGGCCAACTGTCACCATGACCCCACCAACCCACATGATCACCCTTATATCTCAACTCACCCTTCCTTACCTTTTTTCTCTATATAAACTTGTATATCCATAAGTTTTGGAGAATAGGAGAAAAAAATAAAGTAAAATTAGAAACCCTTGTACTTGGTTTCATGCCAAATTAGCGAACCCTTTTAGTTGCCAATTAGATCACACTAGTATGGAGGTTGCAGTGGAACTGGAAGATGATCTCTTTTTTGCAGATTTGAGCAAGGAAATTTCTCTCCTAATTATGGATGAAGAGGAAGACCCTCTTGCTTCTTGTCCTGCACACTCTCTTCAGGTTCTTTAATTATTCCTTTCATCTCTTCAAACACATGCACCACTCACTTTTTTCCACCAAGCATGTCATAAGGTTGATCAGAGTGCGTGAATTATTATAAATCTTCTATCAAATTCGATTCTTACATATAAAAAAGAAAAAAGAAAAACATGCATCACAAACTTTTTTTCTCCACTTTGGGGAGGAAGTTTTTGTATGTTATAATTCATGATTCTTAACATGGCTAAACTAATTTTCAGGGCTTTTCTGGGGCAATTCATCCTCCTCCACAGTTTGCTTTCCTCTATGAGCATGCTTTGAGAAGAGAAAGCAAAGGAACAGGTGTGTTTATCCCCCAGGCAACACAGCCAAGAAGGAAGCAGAGGAAAGGCAGGTCCAGTAATTCATATGCAAAACATCAAAAGCAATCTCAAGAAACCAGAATGGTTTCTCAAGTTCCTAACAAGAATTCTTTCAAATCCAGAAATGGCTGAGGATCCTTGTGAACACCTGCATAATCTTACAAAATCTAGTGATTAATTTGTTTGCCAAGTTTAATAATTTGTGGATCTAATTCTTTAGCCTTTAGGCAATAATTATGTGGTTAATAAATTGGTATTGTTTATATATAGGTAAATGTACATGGGAAAAACCATATATACCTAAAATATTAGGCTTTAGGTACCATATAGGAATAGGAAGGTTCATCCAAGGTTTTGTAACCTTCCTCTGCAGACAAGCATTTCATTGTTATCTGGTTTCTTGTGATAAGTTTGTCATATGGTTGCAAAGATATTAGTGAGAGTTCTATTTCCTTCCTTGTTTTGCTTTTGTTTTCCTTTCTACTCATTATATAACTACATATTATCCTTTGTTTTTTATTTTTATATATCCATTAACTTAATATATCCTGTTCATATGCTTTTATGTGTTAAGATTGGAAATGAAAAAGAAAAGGAAATAAAGGGGAAAAAAGAGAGGAAGTATAAATTGATTTCATACCAAACCAAAACATAAGTTAAGGCTAGATATTTACAAAGTTTCAATCTATTTAATCTATTATCAATGAGTGTTGGAAACTTGTTTTGAAATGATATTGATTTTACTTATAAATAAAATTGAAATTAAAAGGAAACAACTTATATTTTAAGTTTCTAGTCAATTATTAACTTAACAAAAAAGTTCTATTTTTCACATCTAATTAAATTTGTTTTCAAAATAAACTTGATTTTGAATTTTTATAATCAATCACACCTTTTTTATTATTTAAAATTTGCGTTTATGGAATAAAAGCATCTGGAGAGCTCAAAATCTCTCCGATCAGATTTAATTTTTTTTAGTGAATTTAGAATATCTCTGGTTTGAGAACTAAAGATTGAGATTAATTTGTCAAGATACTAAAATACATTTAAGATATCGAACCAATGGGAACATGCATTTAGTGCTAATATATCGTGTAGTCTTTGTCTTCACATATGTCTTCCATATGGAGAATCTTCCAAGTTTCAACTCATGAAATTTCAGAGCATGTTCTTTGTAGAAAAAAGAGTCAATTTGGATTTTTTTTTCAAGTCTTCCCAAAATGATAAAAAAAGAAGAAAAAAAAATTCCACCGTGATGTACATTTTAGTATAAAAAGTATTGATATTTATTATGTGAATAAAGATTTAAAATTAATTTTATCAAAATCAACTACACTGAAAAAAACCTTCAAGATTTAAAACCAATTTAAGTATGTAATTTATGAAAAATTAATTAGACAAAATTGTAAAACGGATGAGATAATATAAATTAATTTTAATTTAAGAGAGAAAATATTTTATTATTTTTTCTTTATTTCCAAATATTTATTTAAAAATATTGAAACTAACTAATAATATAATTCCTGGAGAAAGATAAGGCTGCATGTGAATATGGATTTATAGATCCTTTTGTGGACTTGAGAAGACCATGTTCCACTATAGACTTTTGATAGTGAATAGTATAGAGAAAGCTTGGAACAATTGCTTTCCTGGAAGACAACCAGAAAGGAAAAGTCACTAAAAAAATAATATACATTTATCACTTTATGATTTACTAGATAGATCCTATTAGTATTTGCACCGTTGGAAAAGTAAAGTGTTGTATATGATTGGGATTGGAAGCATAAGCTTTGGGGTTTGCCTATAATAATGAAATTTCCAATGAATTATTCTCGGCCTACCTACCTCCCATGATCTTCTGTTTAAGAATGTCTTATTACGGTTGTCGCATGGCCAAGCCATGCATGGGATCTCACTCGCTTCTCTTTTCTTACAAGTTACAAGACATTCCTTTTATATTATTATTCTAAAAATAGGGTTCTTCCAAGAAATTTATCTTCTAGCCAACACCCTCAACAAAAATGATTTTCTTTATGAAGCTTTTCCTTTTTAGTCCAAAAGTTTTATCGCCACCAAGTACCACTTCTGTTAAAGTTTTTTGTCTTAATAAGACGGTGTAAGATGGTAGAAGAAACAAGTGAAAGAAAAATTGAATAAGAAGCATGGGATAAAAGAAATGAATGAGAATAAAAATGTCAAAATAAAAAAATACAAGAGAAATTAAATAATCTTTTCTTCCTTATTTTGTCAATAAAAATATAGAAAATTGTAATTGTATTAGATAACATTGATATGATAGAACAAAATTAATCCTAATATATAAAATATTGGCTATTTTACACAATAGTGCTTTTATAATTTTTTTTCGAGAGAAACCTTTTAAGGATTCTTTTAAATTTATATTTAATTTAATTAATTTTTATTTATTATAAATATTTATAAATAAAATTTTAATATTTTAAAAATAAAGAAAAATAATCTTGTATAAAAAATAATTAATTCCTTTATATTTTGAGCTGCTTTTTTTTTAAATCCATGATGATGAGAGTTCAATTTTTTTGTTTATTATTATTTAAAGTTAAAATATGAAAATACAAAAAGAAAAAATTGAGGAGAAATTAAGTTAAAATTTAAAATATAAATAAAATATTTGATAATAAAAATAAAATATATCAAATATGCTGCATCACATCAATCATGAATCATGATACGCTTAATGTTTTGTCTTATGAAAATATCAATGCCCATATTGCTTTCAAGTTCATTAAAGCCTGCATGTTACAACTTACAACCAAAAGCAGATTAAGGACCTTCATTTTCTTTGCTATAAATAATTGAGGGACATATTGACTGGATCAAGTCATTAATAACACAAACAGCCACGGTAGCAAAGTGGCAAGGACGCTTCGTATATTTTTAGGATATTTTCCTTAACAAAAATCTTCCTTCAGCTTACATTTAAGAAAAATTAAATTGGCTATTTAGAAGATGTTTACAAAAAATTATATTGAGCTCATTTAAACTTACACATATATAGTTTTTCTATGTATTTCAATAATTTTTAATATTAAATTCATAATACAATATTAAATATTTATCTAATTGCAACGCATTAACTAATTATACTATTTTTAAAAAAACTAAATATACATGCTTTAGATCCGTTCCAATGAAAACGTGGATAAAGTATTTAGCCCATACTCCCCGAGTTGGGCTAGATTAAATGGAGTGGGCCTACCCTAAGAAAGGGCCCATAGTGTGAGAATGTTACGTTGTTGTATCGGATTGAATTGAGAGTTGAGTGAGGAGGGTGGGAGAATTGTGTGATGGCATCCGCTATGGTGAAAGGAGGAGGTTCTAGGCTCATCAAATCGGTGTCTGCAGCTCTTGGTACGAGGTTTTACGCCAAGGTTGCAACTGGCACTGACATAGTCTCTGCCGCACCCAATGTTTCTCTCCAGAAAGCTCGTACCTGGGACGAGGGTATTGCTTCCAAGTTCTCCACCACTCCTCTCAAAGACATCTTCAAGGTCCCTCCTTTTTCTCTCCTTTTTTTCTTTTTCATCAATTGCTAATGTCCCCTTTTTCCTTCATGTTTCAGGACAAGAAGGTTGTCATCTTTGGGCTACCAGTAAGTTCATTTCCATTTTTTTTCTCATTTTATGTGTTTTGGCCTCTCTCTTTGCTGCTTCTTGTTCTAGTTTTGTAAAATTGGGTGCTATTTTGCAAAAAAAACATTGTTTCCTTTGGTCTAGGAAATGGAATTGTTTGAAAAATAAATGTGATTTTTTTTTGTTGTTGCTATATTTATTTCCGAGTAATGATTTTTATGCTTTGGCTATCTCTCAGGGTGCATACACAGGAGTTTGCTCTAACAAACATGTTCCTCCTTACAAGGAGAATATTGATAAGTTTAAGGCTAAGGGGATAGATTCTGTTATTTGTGTGGCTGTTAATGATCCATATACCATGAATGCGTGGGCTGAGAAGCTTCAAGCCAAAGAGGCTGTAAGTTATCCTTGTCTTCGGCCTCACTATTACAAACAAGGTTTAGTATGCTGAGATTTTATTTTTCCTCTTTTGAATTTGCATTGGTCATTAGTTTTTTTTACTTTTTCTCTTGTAAAACACTTGGTATCTCTGTTGAGATTTTTGTTTCCAATTTCTTGTGTCACAACTGAAGGATCATTCAATCTGTAAACTCGTTTATAATTGAGTTTGGGATAGTACTAGTCATGAGTTTGTAGATAATGCATCAATAGTGTAGTGATTTTTGTTGGTGTGCGAAAAGAATGAAGGGATTCATGAGAAGAGAACTTCTATCTCTGGGAAATCCTTTAGTTTTTAAATCCATGTTAAGATTGAGCTCTTCAGAAAACATAATATGTACCGTAAATATGGAGATTTCTATGTTGATTATCATGCATCTATCAATACCTTAAGGAATTAGGAAATTTTCTATTTGCTGCCTTATGGTATTCCCATTTCCTTTATTTTGGGAATTGACTATGAGCGTTGTCTTTTCTTATTATATAAAATTTGTCTCCAGATTGATTTTTATGGGGACTTTGACGGGAGCTTTCACAAAAGTTTGGATTTAGTTACTGATCTCTCGGGTGCATTGCTTGGAACTCGATCTGAAAGGTATATTATATACCCTCCTTGAACTAAGAATGGACTCATTCACTTGAACATGTACTTAGTTACATGCACCAAGATTGGATGGCTAGTCCTTAGAACTTAGAACATGGCTTAATATGCAAGACACTACTATTCTGTTTTGCATTATAGATTTCAATTCTATAAAGAATAGTTGTTGTTTCTGTTAGGTCCAGAGTAGGCTTAATAGTTATTCACAGCTAAAATAAGAGATGAGTAAAAAAGAGACAAGGGAGAAAATAACCACAGTAAAAATATTATTTACTGAAAGGGAGGAAATTACAACACTTCTCTCTCTATAACTTACTCCTTTCTATTAGGAGACTACTACTACCGAGAACAGATCTCAAGGTGTATAAGAGAGGAAGAGAGAAGAGAAGAAGATTTGGGATGAAAATTATGATTTTCAGCTTCCCTATTTATAGGAAAGTCCCAATGGCATTTTCGTAATTTCTCCTAAACTTTTAATATTATTTTATTATCATGTGGGACCCGCTTTTAATTTTAAATTAAAAAACCACCGAAAGGTGGTGGCAGCTGTACCTAACAGTTTCCGTGTAGATGGTCAGCATACGTGGTAGATGGAAAGATTAAGGCTCTCAATGTTGAAGAAGCTCCATCTGATGTTAAGGTTTCTGGCGCAGATACCATTTTGGGACAGATTTGAAGTTTCCGTTGGCTTGAATGTATGTAGTAAATCCTCAATAAAATGCACCTAATACTTTATACTCCAGCTGATTCAATGTTGTGACTCGAGAGTTTTTGTCCGAGTTTTGGACTTGTTTCTGTTGTCAGCACTCCCTTCTTTCCGGATGCAAGGTTATTCGATGAAGGAAGTTGACCCTTCTTTTTTTCTGGATGAAGTCTCACTTTATATTTTAGAGCATGTAATTCCTTATTTACAAAATACAATGTTGTTTTTTTGTCACGTTTCTACTATTGACACCGTTAGCTTCCATATATTTTTGAAAGATATGCCATTAAATCTTATTATATATCAAATTCAAGTTTTCACCTTTTTTTTTCTGTGGGATTTTGGGACAAGCAAATCCTCCTTCTTTGAGTTCATGTCTCGCTAGCCTTTCTCTAAGGCTATCTTGGCAAGGACAATTTTTTACTCTTGAAAATAAGACAATTTCTTCATATATCATCTTTTGATAAATATCACCAGATATCTCAATAAATATCACTAAGCATGTTGATTAAAATAAAATTTCAATTTCATTTATCTAATGTACTTATCTCATACTAGTTAAATTTTTTATTACACATAATATCAAAATAAAACTTTAATTTTAATTGAGAAATTATTAAAATTTAAGTGTTTAAGTGAATTTCACATCAATTAGGAGTGAATATGTTAAATCATATATAAATAAAAAAATTAACTTATATAATATCTTAAAGTTTTGGATTATGAAATGGTGTTAAATTCACTCATGATTTACTTACTACCTATTGGTGAAATGCTCGTGTTTAAGTCTTTGACTCAACAATAATATCAAAAACGATGTTCGATCAAGTAATTGATAACTAACTTAGACAAGTATTGAATAATGAAAGGCTAAAAATTTATTTTGGTTTCTTATAATAATTGTTTGTTTTAATTTAGTCCCACTTTTATTTTTAGTCTCAATTTAGTCTCTAATAAATTAATTGGTTGCAATGTCGGACTTCCGTCCAAATTATTTAAACGGAGTTAACTGTTGGCCACGTGGCATCCACGTAGATGCATAGGTGGATGTCACGTGGATGCGAAATTCTTTGAAAACACCTGGAACCAGAATGGCCCGTTCTGGGTGCTTTCTTGGTGTGTTAATTTTGCATCTGAAACGGGTCGTTCTAGATGCAAAATTAACACACCACCAATACATCAGAACGATCCGTTCTGAAACCAGAACGGGTCGTTCTAGTTTCAGAACAGGCCGTTCTGAATCCAAAACGGCGCGTTCTAGAACGCTAGTGGAAACAATAGCATATTCTATATTAATTTTATTAAAAAATATAATAATTTTGAAAAATATTTTTTATGGTAAAAATTTTAAAATGACTTATTTTTATAAAATACAATTGTCTTATAGATAGAGTGATAACTTTTCTTTTTTCTCTTTCTGTCTGAATAAATATTTAAGTGTCATTTTATAATTTTTTGCAATTTATTTAAAATTAGAGAAAGAAAATGATAAAATTTATTAGGATAAACATAATAAAATTATTAATTTGTTTTCTTTTAATGTCCTCTAAATTTTTACACTCGTTTAAGACAAAAATATTTTATATGTTAATTTGAATTAATTTAACGAAGTATTATATGATTTTTAAATTTTTTAAAAATTTTATAAATTTGATCTATACATGAAAAGCTTTTTAATTTAACAATTAAATTTTTAAAAATTTGATATAGAACATTAATTATTAAGTAGAATAAATCTATCAAGACTTACTCTTGAAGTAAGTAAATTTTTTCTTAATTAAAAATGAAGATAATTTTATCACAAAATAAAAAAAAATTAAACAATGAAATAAAATATAAAAAAAATATTAATGTATTTATTATATTAGATATAACAACATAATTAAAATATAATTAATAATATATATTTTATAAAATTATTAATATTTTATATATAAAAAAAAAAAGAATTAAAAAAATTTTAGTCCGGTGTATCTTCTTCCTTTACTTCATGTTCTACCTTTTCAAGAACAGGTTGTTGTTGTTGGGGTACATCATTAATGACTTCAAGGAAAAATACTATGTCATTTCATCATTTACTGTATAGTGTCAATTTGGTAGTAAGTGATTCACTCCAGTTTGACTAACAATGAAAAATCTGTTACCATTATCTTTAATGATACATTGCATTGTCCTTAATGATACACTGTATAACTCAACTGTTTAGTAATTGAAGTTATCAATTTCCATTGATAATATTACCAAATCCAGTGTTTGAAATGTTTTGTATCTGGGGTCTTTTTCCTTCCACGATTCACAACCGTGAACTATAATTATTTTGTGTTTAGCAATCTGGAACCAGAACGGCCCGGCCCATTCTAGTTGCACTCTTAGTGTGTTAATTTTGCAACTGGAACGGGCCATTCCGGATGCAAAATTAACACACCAAGAGTGGAACCAGAACGGCCCGTTCTGATTCCAGGTGTTTTCCAAAAATTTGGCATCCACGTGACATTCACTTATGCATCTACGTGGATGTCACGTGACCAACAGTTAACTTCGTTTAAATAATTTGGACGAAAGTCCAACATTGCAACCAATTAATTTATTAGGGACCAAATTGAGACAAAAAATAAAAATAGGACTAAATTGAAACAAACAATTATTATAAAAGACTAAAATACTATTTTAGCCATAATGGAATTTGGTTGTCAGTGGCGGAACATCAATAAAAAATTTGGGGGTGCCAAATTATTTTTTTTTATATATAAATTAATTTTTTTACTAATTAAAATAATAATAATTTTTTTATTTAAAATAAACATACATGATAATAAAATTCAAAAAAATATTATTATTTACTAATCTTTTTATAAAATAATCATAAATATATATATATATATATATATGAATATATATAAAAAAAATATTTTAAAAAAAAAATTGGGGGAGTCGTGACTCCCCCCTGTCCCTTAAAAGGTCCGCCACTGGTTGTCTTGCACCAAGAGTGAATTGGCGTACGATCCAAGACTAAATCATCTTTGTATTGAAAAGTCTATTTAATGTGAAAGACATGTCTATTGATGTGCAATTGTAATACAAGTAGGCTGCTATTGAATACTCTAGACGAAGAAAACAAAAACTCCCACTTAAAGGAGAATTGACTATGTAGAAAAGATTCACACTTAAAAATAAATGTTGGTGTTCAAGCAATATAAGTCATGTGTTGAACTTTGCAAACCAAAACTTACAATATTGTATGTAAATTAATTATAATTTTTGAAAATTTTGAAACATACAACAAAAATTCATCGTGTAAAAGAGACTAAATTAACTCATTAAAGAAAACAAGTATTGACATGTAAAAACAGTAAACATGGACAAGAAATCATTAAATAATCTTCCATCAAAAGAAACCACTGTCTCTATAAATTGATCTAACATAATTTTAATTCCTACGAAAACACTGTCTCTATAAATTGATCTAACATAATTTTAATTCCTACGAGTAATTGATCATCGATAACAATGCGAGTAATTGATCATCGATAACAATGCAGGACGAATACCAACGGGTATATTGGTTTCAAGCGACGTCTCTTGCACTTCTTGGACAATTGAGACCAGCACAGTAAAGTCAAGCCAACTTTCCCAACAACCAAGTCTTCATAGCATATTATTTCCGGTCTAAATGAAGATATGAAACACATTGGAAATATTAGTCAATAGTCAACTTTAAAGTAATATACTATACCATTCAAAATGAATTGCTCATATTTGCAAAGTTTGGTGGTTATTAATGTATGTTTCTCTTTTCTTCTTTTGTCTACTGTGTTACCTAGAAATTATATGACCAATTAACTTGTGTAATAAACTACAATTCAAAGGTTATTAATGTATTTTTCTCTTTTCTTCTTTTGTCTACTGAGTTACCTAGAAATTATATCGCCAATTAACTTCTGTAATAACCTACAGTTCAAAGTAAAAATAAAGAGATTTGATAGATGATAAAGTTACCTGAACAGGTGGAATATTTTTCATTCGAAAAGATTGCATGTTAGTAACAAGTGGGAGAACATTTGAACTAACATCATCAACTGCACCTCCACTCTCTTTACTTGGAGAAGACCCAATGCCATTCTCTTCAACAGACTTCTCTTTTTCAGGTAAGCCTGAAGTTCCCCCACTAGAGACCAGAGTAGAACTGGACCGTTTTGAGCTAAGTTCAAGGCGTTCAATCATCCGTGAAACTCCAGCGATGCCTGCATTCATCTCGCGCTGAACACCTTTACTCAGCTCTTTTACTGAGACATTGTGAGCAAGTAACTTCTCTTTGAGGCCACGCGTACCTTTAGAAATTGATTCCTTATATCTGTTGCAATATTTCAGATATCTTAGCACATAGCACTGAAGGGTAATAGTTGGATCATACAACAATCCAAGTGCTAACATGTTTACCTAGCTGAAGCAGCAGAAAATTTAGATTTGATGGACTCAGGGAAGGAAATCATCTCAGAAGTGTTTTGTCTCCTTGCACCCGCTGGCGTAGCATTTGATGCCAGAGGTGGAACATTAACTGTATATGGTACAGTGGAAGCCAGAAAACTGCCCCCAGGTGGTGAAGTTGCAAGTGTTGTTTGCACCCCAGATACGTGCATGGAAGAGTTGGAACCAAGTACGTCCGATGAACCAGCACCAGGTGATCTCTTCCTTTCCCGTCTTCCAAGACAACGAGCTCTACTCGCAACAGCAACTAGGCGCCTCATAATTTGGTCATCAGAATCAGAGTCATCTGAGCAAGAATCATCCTGCAACGGAATAATTTGCCTCTGATCATTGAATGGAACTATGATACTTATATCAAAGAAACTAATACCAATAGATACACAAATAAAAACCAATTCTTAGATATCTTACATCGCTATCATTAAGCTCTTCAATGGAGACCCTAGAATTAGTCATGTTTCTTGATCTCGTGCGCTTTTCAATTTCCACTGCAGCTAGAAGCTCTTGACTACAAAAGGATAGGGAATTATTGAAAATTAAAAAACATATCCATAAAAGCCTTGTATCAAGTATTTGAGAGGGAGGAGGGGAGTTGCAAGTAAACATATACCTGGCAGGGTCTCTCAAAGCAAGTGATTGCCAACATATTGGACACTCTTTACTTCTTTGTGACCTAAAACAGAGGAGAGTTTGGTAAGAAACAGGTATCATGATTCACGCTATTGTCCATGTTTGCAAATAATATATATATATATATATATATATATGTATAACTTCTTTAAAAAAAAAAATGGCTTACCATTCAAGAATGCAATGCAGATGGTATTCATGTTTGCAACAGGTAACCTGGAATTAGAAATGAAACATAACAATATATGCTCTGTTACCATTTAGATAGATAGATCCGGAAATTGTAAAGCAAAAAGTTCTAACTTTTTAGCAAGTTCAATCAAGGCAACATAACCCAAAACCAGTAAAAAAAAAACATATTAAGGTGAAAGAAAACATATAACTTCTCAGAAAGCACACAAACTTTCAAGTTTTAACCCAAACATTATCAAAACTCAATAGGACTGAACCAACAAGTTCATGGGGACCCCGATCACGGATTTAAGTTAATAACTTTTTCAGAAACCAAAAGAAAATAGTAGGGATCACATCATACAATGGATGGGTCATGAACGTTGAAGGACTCTAGGCATATACTACAGGAGTCTTCGGAGGAGTCGTCAACAGGTGCAGCAGAAATGGATGGAATGTGTGACAGAGAAGATGAAGAAGAGAAGAAGGTGAAATTTGCCATGGTTGACGGACAGTGGTAGTGGTGTGTGAAGGAGAAGAAGAAAAGAACCCTAAAAATGGCGAAGGGATTGTGCAAATGGTCAAAGCAAAGAATTTTAGTAGGAAGAGGAGGGAAGGCAGGAAAAAATACAGGGAAATTCCGATTAAGACGCTTTGATGAAATCAACTTATGACTCATCCATCTTCTTTATTATTTTTTTATTTTTATTTCTTTGTCTTTAAACTCTTAATTATGAATCATCCTATAAAATATATTTATTTATTAATTACATTGCTTTTGAATTTATTTAATTATCCTTATGATTTTTTATGTTTTCTGTTTAACCTGAACTCCTTATACTTTGTACAACATCTTTGATATCATTTAAAATTGCATTATTTTTTAATTAAAATTAAATTTTTATTTTAATAATATATAAATATATATTAATAAGAACTAGATTAAATACAAGTATATATATCATTGTAAATCTTCCATTTAAAAAAATAATATAACTATATTTTAAAATTTGTATATAAATTTTGTCCTTTCCTTAATTATATAGTATTGAGTATATTTTGTTAATTTAATAGTTACTATAGTAATAAAATGTTAGATCAATTTAATTTGATATAAAAATATAAATATAATTTTCATATTTTTAATATGATAGATTATTTAATATTAATTTTATAATATAAGAATATATTTACTTGAGTATCATGCTCCAACTAACTCTGTCGGTAAGTTACGAGTACTTTATCCATAAAAAGAAAAGGTACGTGTACTTTTCTTTCCTCTGCATTATTCTTTTCCTCCCAATATGCCAAAATTTATTTCATCATAACATTGCTTAAAACGTCAATCTTTATACACAATACTATATTATGGAATAGAATCTTTTGAATTACAATGAAATTAATATTCTAACTTCAGGAATTGTTTGTTATTTTTTTCCCTTTCTTGTATAAATTTATACTAGTTCATTATATCATTTGTATTCAAGCTACTCTTATAATATAAATTAAAATTCTTAACTTGGGGATTGAGTCTAAGAGTGTCACTTTTCTCATGATGAACATTTCCGATATTATTTTTCTTTCTCAACTTGTATGATGAAATCCTATTTGGTTACATATCATGCACAAAAAAATTATTCAGAAATTATTGATTATAAAATAATAATAATAATAATAATAATATAATATATTGATATAATTATCTACAATTAGAAATCATGGTACATTTGATAAAACTAATTTATAAAGTATAAATTAAAAATAAATAATTTATAAATAAATAAATAAATTAAACTAAAAATATTTAATAAAATTAATTGATAAGTTAATTAATCAATATAAAATAACTTAAAAATATATATATAGTATATCAGATTAAAAAAAAAGATTTCAAATAAATTAGTGTAAATGAAGAAAAAGTTAATAATTTATAAGTTAACTTATTTTGTTAAATTATTTCAAGTAGTTTATAAAAATAATTTATAAACTATCAAAATAAGTTTTCATAATAAATAAATTTATTTTAACTAAAGTTATTTATAATCTATTCAAAATATATAGCTTATAAATTTCCTCTGACATATTCTGAAATACATTTGATTAGAAAAAGGGCAACAGAGACGTGACAAAGCTCTGATACCATATTCATAAATGTACAAATGGCTATATATAACATAGACACGTAATGGTGGTGATTTAATATTTAACAACTTTTTTAGAAGTACATTTTGCATGTTATCTTACGGGTTACAACCAGAAAAGAAAAAGAAACATTTCTCAACCATTTATTTATGTATTTGGCATTCTTCAACTGTTTATCTATTTTTTTTTTATAAAAATAAAGTAGTACTTCTAATTTGTAATTTTATATTTAAATTAAAAAAATTGATTCCCAGTTAAAAAAATACAAATGTTAAATTACTTAATTTAATAATTTTTATATACTGCTTATTCATTTTAATGTAACCTCTTTTATTTTTAAATTGAATTTTAATAATTTATAAAATAATAGTGACATTAAATTGAGTGGATGGGTATGTTCAAGAATCGAAGTAACTAGAACGTAATAGAGTATGAAAGTAGTTCAGTTCGTGATGCCAAAGACAAGTGCCATGATGATTGATGAAGCGTTAGATTACACGGCGATGCAATGGGACCAACAAGTAATGTGGTTGGCAAAATCTTCACCCTGTGAGTTTAAGAAACTGCATAGTTTGGTATCGTCAGCCTTAGCCAAAATAATTTTATCCTTTCATTTTCTGTTCATTGTCACCAAAAATATAATCATAATTGAATATTTATGTATCCATTGCAATGTCATTGTTGTTGGAGTTCAAGACGAGTATTGGTTGGATCTAAGAGTGAGATCCTAAATGGAATTGGCAGGAGATCCAAGAGTAAGATCATCCCTTGTACTGAAAGTCTCCTTAGAGGTGTGGAGGACGTGTGTCGTTGAAGTGCAACGATAGTGCAAGTAAGGCCACCATTGAATACTCATGGACGAAAGAAAAAAGTTTCCGCTTGAGGAGGAGCGTGACCATGTGGAAGGGATTCACACTTGAGGGGGAGTGTTGGAGTTCAAGTGTGAAGTGAACTCTCCAACAATTGTTGTATCAATTAGATGTTTTTATGGATATTGGGTAATGCGTTAAAATCGATAATTAAGGATTTTGGGAGATATAATTTTTTGTTCGTGAAACATTTTTTTAATATAGATAAAATTTAGTTATAAAAACATTAGGTTCATCTCTAAAAAGGTTTAGAACTACTGAATTAAGAGACTAATCTTAAGAGAGGTATTATAACTACGAAATTAAGAGATTTGATCATTGTAAGCCAAACAAATGATATGGAGGTTACTGTATCATGAATTCATATCATCTTCAATTAATGCATTTTTCAACACAATGGTAATATTAGAAAGAAAGTAAAAATTCATGCAATCATAAATTTAGTACTAGTTTAAGTGTTTAACATAAACATAAAGTAATGAAGAAATTGTAATAACCTCCTCTTATATTTGTCAAAATGATAGTCACTTGTCTTTTATTTTATTAATTCACACTTACTTTTCTTATTTTATAATTTAATTTTTATATACTATCTCTTTTTATAATGTTAATTCATCGATATATTAAAATTCATTCTCTTTAACTCTTGTTTATATTTAAACTTACATAACTTTAAATTTATTAAAGATGTGACTTTATAATCTCAATACTATGATTTTATGTCAAATATCAAAACTATCAAAGGAATAATTATATAAGATTTACAAAATGACCTTTTTTGCATAAATAAAAAAAATCTGTTTAAACATATACATCAAAACGAATAGATAGTGCAACATTATAAATTCGTTAGTAATTGTTGAAGTTATTGTATAATTAATTTACTACTTCTATACTGTATTGTTTCTTTTAAATCTAAATTTACCATTACATTTTCTTGTTGAATTGTGATGATTATACTTATTATAAAAATAAGACAAAATTAAGTTAGAATATGAGCAAATTTTTTAGAATTATGTTGGACGATGGCAAAATTGTTGGGTTACCCTAATGTAGTTATTGTTTAATCAACAACTTAAGTTTATGCTTTTAATTATGATTAATATATATATATATATATTTTTTTTTTTTTTTGCATGTTAATTTTATGTTTTTTATTGTCTAAAATGTTGAATAATAAAATATAAAGACCTATTGAATTTATAATGAAGAGAGTCTGTTAACGAGCGAAGGAAAAAATCATGTATTTTAAATATTTATTATTTTATACTTAAACAATTTTTTAATTTTATTTATAATTTATAAATTTAAATAGAATTAACATTAGAAAGGATCTTTATTTTAAAAAAAACTAAAAAAAATGGTTTTTGTAATTTAGGTAAACTTTTGGGGAGGTGAATAGAATTTCATTGACTCACATATAACATTTTATTGTTGAATTCTCATGACGATCACTATAAAGTTCATGTGTTCAGAGCCACAAATCTTACAATATATGTAAATATTGTCCTCTAAAACAGCAGTGTTTGTCTCACGCACTGTGAAAGGTGACTAATCACAAACATAGATAGAAATATAGCAGGCCACTTAACAAAAATTATAGCTTAATTTATATAAACTCGTGTCAATTATAATTTTTTTAATAAAAGAAATAGGTTAAGTTGAAGTTTTTTTTTATCAAAGACTAATTAATTGAAAAGACTATACTTTATGTCATTTAAAAAATTTACTAAACCTAATAGGCGACTTATTTAAATAAAAGTAAATAATATTTATTATTATTATTGTTATTAGTTATAAATAAGTTTGTTATAATATATTAAAATCATACATTTATTTATCTTTTTAAAGTATTAAGCATGTTGACTTATATAAAAAAAATAAACCTTATAAATTCATCTAATGAAAACTTAAAAAAAAAAAAAAGATAAATTAATTTTTGTCTTATTTAAATATTTCATTATAAAATATTTTTTTAATAAGTTATTATCATGAATGTAATATTAAACCTAAAACAAATATTCATATCATATAAATAAATTAAATTCAGCTTTTAACATTTTATTTTCATGTCTTGATATTAATTAAATTATTACAAAATAGACCTTTATATAAACTTATAAATCAGATCAAAATTTTATAAAGATCAAGTCAAATTATTAAAAAATGACTATTAAAAAAGTAAATAGATCAAAGTCAAATCTTGTATTTTCAATAAAAGTTAGACTGATAAGTGATACCTAATAAAGTTTTACGTATCTATTTCACCCACAATCACAATTTCAAATCTTATGAGATATGAAAAACTCTGGTTGTCTCCTTTGATTTTAGAGAATATCTTGTTGCTATATGTATAAAAAATAAAAATAATTATAATTATAATAACTATATATATATATATATGTATATATATATATATATATAAGGTGCAAATAATGCAATTAAAAATAAAAGCAGTACGCCAATATTTAATTTGCTTCAATTTTAATTCTCTTATTAACAAATTTTAAGGAGAATGGATATTCTGTATCTAAGGCAGGGGAAATTTTTATCTGTATTTTATTTTAGTTTTAGTTAATTATTCTTGGAAGTTTTAATTTGAGTAAGTTATTGTGTTATTAAGCATTTTGTAATTAATCAATTTTACCAATCATTTTTAATGTTCTCAATCTAAAAAGATGATGCATTATTTTTTTTTATATTTTTTTTAGCAAAATGTTTTCTAATGCGTTATTGAGTAGCAAAGATGCATGGAACATAGTAATAACTCAAGAAAATTAAGTTGTCGTCTGTTTAATTGATTATTCTAACATTCAAATAGGCAATTGTTTAATGATATAAATTTAAAAAATACAAAGATATAGCCCGCATTTTAATGATTAATACATATTTCAGTTAACTAATTGAGTAAATAGTCTATATATTAATAATATATGTGTTCTTATTATTTATAAAAAAAAATATTGTTATCTAATTATAAGTTTTTTGTATTGAAAAACTATTAAATTTTATAATAATTATTTTAAAAGTCATATCTATCATAATTTTTTAGTTAAATAATAGTGTAAAAGAAAGAGTTAATCATTCACACATGTAAAATTTTTTACACTGACAACCAATCATATCTTTAAATTATTTTATTTTATTTTTATTTTATTTTTATTTTTACACTATTAAAATATATGATTGGTTGTCAGTGTAAAATGATTTTATACTGACAATGGGTGATTAACTCTAAAATAAATTATATTATGGAAATTAAATTATAATTTATTTGAAATTATAAATCTTTTATGACACAAATGATAAATTGATAATGAGTGGATGAGGCATGTAACGAGTTATTTGATATCCTTCACCAACGACTTGCATGGTGTGCAGATTGGTATGATAGGACAGCCTGGGTCGGCTCTAATGGGCTGATTTCCTTCCCTATAAGCCCATGCATGTACATCATCAGATCCAAACCTTCCAACAAGCCCACGTAGACAATTCATCATATGCCCATGAGCTTAGAAGTGAAGATAAATTATTTTAAATCTTTCCCAAAGAATATACAATAAATGCACTTTAAAAGGATACATTTGGATTTGAGTTTGATTCTTATTGTTGTTGTAATTTTTTATTGATAAAAAAATATAATGAGTATTTCTTTTATGATATTTAAGAATCAGAATTTAGAATAAGAGATTATAATAATTCATGTACATTATTTAGCAACTGAACTAAATTATTTAATAATTAAGATTGAAATTATTAAGTTAATACAATTTCAAAGTAACCAGTAACATTGAATAGTTCATTATCTTTATTCACACTAATCTTTTCAATCAAACAACACAAACCTTTTGTGTATGAGTATTTAATTTATTCTATAGTAAGTATGGCAATTTGAATTCATACATACTCGTTCAAACTATACATACTCGTTCAAACTAGAATTGACTTTGATAGGAAAAAACTAGTTTAACAAAGGTTGAGTTCAAGTTTTTTCCGTTTGGTAGAAAAATGACAAAGACTAAGTTTAAGAATGCCACCTCTCAAAATTCGTTCTATAAACACATATATAAAGAAGCAACTTTTTTCATTAAAGTGAGATAAATAAATATTGACAATTTATATTATCATTTATATAAATTCTGTTCTTTGTACATGAAGAATTGTACTATAATGATTTTGGCTTGGATCGCACTTTTCTTACTTTCATATATAAATGATCCTTCCATTGAAAGTCTTGAATAAAAATATATATAAATATGTTATTTTACATTTATCAATTACTTCCGCAAATAATCTTATCACACATTTATACTTCTATAAGTTGGCTCAATAGCTAGTAATTATCATCTTTTAGCTTCCAACTATCAACTATAGGTTAGCTTTAAAGCTTCCAATTAGTTTCTTAACTTTTAGTTAGTATTTTTAGCTATTTTTATCAAACATAATCTTTATAGTTAGTTTAGTAATGGCATAACTAATTAATTGATAAAAATATTAATTAAGATAATAAAAATTATTCTAAATCAAAATAGTTAGATTATTTTTAGGTATGTGAGATAATTGAGTAATATATCTATTTTATTAAAAAAATATCGATTTTGCTTCCCAAGAGTGACACAGCTAGTTACTTGGTAGTTAAGACTTGAAATCAAATTCTAGATTCTCTAGTATTTTATATCCTTCTATACAAATTTGCATTAAGGATTTAATAAACAATTTATAATTCTATTGAAAATCTTCATAGAGATTGATGATTAATCCTGTTTTATATGGCGTCTTGTTTTACTCTAATATAAACTTTTTTTATAAAAAAAATTAATACCGATTTTTTTTATTTATCAATTAAGCATATGTTTCAATTCTTTTAAGTGGGCTATGAAACTAATTTTCAACTTGAAACTTTTGTCTCTTTCTAAAGATAGGGAGGAATGAATCTAAATTGTTTCTCCCATAAACTGAATAAAGGAATGAACGGATGGCCTTAATTGATATATATATTTGCTTTGATTTACCTGGTAATGTTGGACCCTACACAAGGGTGGTCTCTCTCTGCATGATTAGAAATAGTGCATCAATAATTCTGCTCAACCTGTAGCTCCCGCCCCTTGTGAACCGCTAATTCCATTGCAACTGTTTCGTACGTATGCCTAAAACGACAACCATCGACTTGAGGGCTGAGAAGAAAAATCTTAGGAGAAAGACAGACACCACCTGGTGCTGACATGCAACTTGTCACACATGTTTAGCACATCATCACACTCATTACCAATGTTTTTCCCACTCAAAATATGATAGATTTTTATGGGAGGATTTTTCAAGTCACTATTGACGGCTGGTAAAAGGCTAGACTAGTATTATTTGGAGTACCCAACATTAACATACATATGGTTTGGTTTGGTCTGGTCCAATGTGATTGAAAGGAACATGATTTTATGTCTATATTCTAATCATAGCTCTGGCGTTTTGGAAGTAAGCTGGAAGCGCAATTTTAGTTCGTTTTGCGAATTGAATTCTGGCCGTTAACAGGCACTGGGAGGCCTCTTCTTTCTGGTTAGGGTCACGGAATCGCTATTCAGTAGGGTCATCTTTACAGACAATTTAGAAAGAGTTGTATCTTATAATTTTTTTTTTTTTATGTGTTCTTCATATTTTATGAAATTTAAAATCAAAAATAAAAAAATACATTTATGTGTAATTAATGTAAATATATATATATATATATATATAGTGAACCATTTAACAATCATGATAAATTTAGCTGATGCGTGAACTAAAAGTAGCTATAAACATGAAAAGAATCACGTTAAAATCAGAAAAATAATTTAATATTGAATTTTTCGATTTTTTTTTGTTTATTAAACTCATTTTTGCATGATTTTTTATTATCTTGTTTATGACTTTTTTTATTTGAAAATTAATTGGGTTTAATAAATAAATATGATGCGCTATAGTATATATCTTGAATTAATCAAATAATAATTTTAAATTGTGTCTCAAAATAGAAATCTATTATTTTTTAAAAGATTAAAATAAATATTTTAATAGATAAAAAAATAAAATAAATCTTAAAAATAAAATAAAAATAAAAAATACAATTTAGTCATTATTTAATTAAACTAATAAATCCAACTAAATATTTAATTCTCAAGTTCACGAATGTAAAACCCTAAACCCTAAAACACTCAAGTTGGAGAGGAAAAGATGTTGACCTATTTAATAGTTGTCAAACCTCCAAATTAGAAGATGTTTACTTATTCAGTACTTATCAAACCTTAAAAAAAATAGTCATATGTTCGACCGAGAATACCCTTTATAAGCCGTCAAAATATAAAATTAAACTAACAAACTTAACGGATGTAGTTAAAATAATTCACTAATTTCACACTCTATAGAAAATGTTATTAAAATATCTTGAAATATTTGTAAAAAAAAATCTTGCAATAAAAAGAAAAATGTCTTAAATATTTTCTTGTTTTCTATAGTTAAAACTTAAAATGTACGCGGTACAGTTGTTTGTTAGAAAGGTTGTCATCCCTGTCCTTCCTATATATAATGTGGAAGTGTAACACCTCCTCTGCTCACCTAGCAAAAAGCGTTTCCAACTCTTCCATTTTCCCACCAACCCTCCTCTCTAAACTACTTAGTACACAACACATTTTGTCACCATCATGATCTCTTCAATGAAGTGCACAGCCTCATCTCTCACCTCTTCTGCTTTCTCATGCAGAAACCTTTCCTTTCCAAGGCCTAAACTTCTCACATTACCCACCATTCAACACTCTCACTTGTGCTCCCAGAGACCCCTGCATCTTTCATCCACTGAGGCCTTTGCATTGGTGAGAAGAAGGAATGTGACGGAGTGCCAGGCCTATGAAGCTGACAGGTCACGCCCACTGGAGATCAACATTGACCTGCCCGCTGAAGAGGCAGCCCAGAGGCTCAAGATTGGGCTCTACTTTGCCACCTGGTGGGCTTTGAATGTAGTCTTCAACATTTACAACAAGAAGGTTTTGAATGCTTTTCCTTACCCCTGGCTCACCTCCACCTTGTCCCTTGCTGCTGGCTCCCTCATGATGTTAATCTCATGGGCCACCAGGGTTGCTCATGTCCCTAAAGTTAACTTGGACTTCTGGAAAGCCTTGTTCCCTGTAAGAATACCTTTCCTTTTCATTCTTATAGTTTTCCATCCTAACATCATTAATAAGGTTTTAAATTGTGTTCGTAGTTGTGTTTTCATTGCATCCTTAATATTGTGTGTTGAGAAAATGGGGGCGGTTGACACCAAAGAGAATTTCATCAATGGGCTAAAAACAAATCACACAAATCAAACTCCACACTATAAGTTAATCTAAAATTTTAAGACATCAGAATTATGAGTTTTAATCTAAAATTTTAAAACATCAGATTTACGGTTCTTTCTCATTTATATGTTACTCGACACACTTAATTAGTTCGTTTAAGATTTTGGAAAGTCGGAGACAAATGCAGTTGAAGTAACTACTATATATGTGGTTGCAATGCAATCTCAAAGACTCCAAAAACTTTGATGTTGAGAAATAAGTGTATAGTTTGAGGCTACTATGTATCTATTGTCTCTTTCAGTCTTCATACAATTATGTATCATCTGGAGATTGGTCCTGTCCATAGACACATGGTAGTCCCAGACTCCCAGACTATCAATAATTTCTTGTCGGTGTCGCTATCGCAGGCCCTTTTTTGAAACCATCATCATGATACATAAAATTTGGAAAGGTTCATTTGAAAAGAAGAGATAGGAAAATTACTTGATAGAATTCAATTCAATAATGCATTCGTGGTGGCAAAATGGTGAGAGTGAGTTTGAACATTGAAGTAAGGGAAGTTTGATTTAGTAGTACTCACTTGAGAAATTTCGAATTTGTTTCATCAGGTTGCGGTGGCACACACAATTGGGCATGTTGCTGCAACTGTGAGCATGTCCAAGGTTGCTGTTTCATTCACTCACATCATCAAGAGTGGAGAGCCAGCTTTCAGTGTCCTGGTGTCAAGGTTCTTACTTGGAGAGGCATTCCCAATGCCGGTTTATCTATCACTCTTGCCAATTATCGGTGGTTGTGCACTAGCTGCTGTGACTGAGCTCAATTTCAATATGATTGGTAAGACTATTTACTTTGAAATTTTCTCATAAAGTAGAAAGTTTTAATAGGATACAAAAATTTGTATGCATAAATATATTTGCTAGTTCAATACTCTAAAGAGAGAATACTTGATGTTTCAGGCTTTATGGGGGCTATGATATCAAATTTGGCATTTGTCTTCAGGAATATATTCTCAAAGAAAGGGATGAAGGGGATGGCTGTTAGTGGAATGAACTATTATGCTTGTCTTTCCATGATGTCTCTATTAATTCTCACACCCTTTGCCATTGCTGTGGAGGGCCCCAAGGTTTGGGCTGCAGGCTGGCAAACAGCTGTGTCTCAGATTGGTCCCAATTTTGTATGGTAAGCACTACATCAATCTTCAGTTGAAGAAGTTGTATTTGTAATATTTTACCGTTAGTTTTTGAATTAGTTCAACAATATTTCTTACTATTCTGCTTCTTACTTCATGTTGCTAGCCAAATTAGCATGAGGGATTTTGTTCATCAAGTGTTTTTAACTAATGGATTTTGATGTTTGCAGGTGGGTAGCTGCCCAGAGTGTGTTCTACCACTTGTATAATCAAGTCTCTTACATGTCACTTGATCAGATTTCTCCCTTAACATTTAGCATTGGGAACACAATGAAGAGGATTTCGGTGATTGTCTCTTCCATACTTATCTTTCACACGCCTGTTCAGCCCATCAATGCTCTTGGTGCTGCCATTGCAATTCTTGGCACCTTCCTTTATTCACAGGTGCATTCTCGTCTCCTTCTAAATTCACTTTGTTTTTTTTATATTCTTGAGAATCCTATGGGCCAACATGCTTTGTGTATTCACATGATTGTTTTTTGTTTGCTTTAGCTATATACCTAGTAAATAAAAGGAAGGATTACAAAAATTACATATCTCTCAAAAGAGGGAAACCAGCATCATATTCTTTAAAAGTGCTGGATTAGAATCATTTAAATTTATGCAGACAAAGTCGAAGAAGTCGTATTAAGTGTGTAACAGCCTCCAATTAAAATGTCAATTTGTTGAATGTACCTCTTCCGAAAATTACATTTTTACAGACCCAATGAAAACTCACAAGTTGTTGTATAGTGTTTTTCTATCTTGAACTTTAGAAAAATTTAAATTGTATCCATGAACAACATAAATCACAACTAATGGTTTATAAAGTGAGTGACCGAATTATTATAAGTTAATTTTAGTGTTTGAAACAACTTATTTCATTTTTTTCTCTGTTAAAAATGCTTACCGAAAAGTTTATTTAACCTGACACTAGTTTTTTTTTATCTATGATCTTATATTATTTAAACAGTTTACTCAACTAGTGATACATTATCACATATATAGAACACAACTGACAGGTTTCCATTGATTCTGTGAGCAGGCTAAACAGTAAGGTGGTAATTTCGAAGGTGTTATGTAACAAAAGGGAGCAATGAGTCATGGCTGGAGCTCAAAGTTGCCACTGATGAGGACTATGACGTTAATTAGCTAGTATGTTTGTTGTCAATAGAAATTCAAGTTGTTTTCCTTGAAGCCATAGCAGCAGCGTTTGTAATCAATCATGTTTTGATCTGTATAAATGTGCTTGAGAAGAGTGGACTACACTATGCAGTACTTGCATCTTGAGGCTGAAAGTATATCAAGATTTTCTTAAAAAATAAAAAATAAAACATTGTAAAATCATGTAGAGCAGTAATTATTATTTTGTTGGTTTGGTATTATTGTGTCGACTAACTTTTGTTGCTTAAAGCCCAGTAGGCCAATATTGATTATTTGGCAATCCATCATTGTTTGGTCACTGTTCATTTGGACCATTGGTGAGTTTCCTCTTCAACCTCTTTTTTCTTTTCACACCCCACTTTAATATTTTTTTTGGTTTCTTTAATGTTTTCAAAATACTTCCCTTCCTTCTTACTTTCACCTTCCTCTCCTCCCACCAACCTTCATTCATCCATAGCTTCTCTTCTTTCTCTGAAGTCTCACCTTCACCCCTCCCTCTCCCCACCATTCGCACCCCCTCTTTTCATTTGTTTCTTCTCTTCAAAGCTTTCTCGGACCATTTCAATCATCCATTTTTTCCCTGCTTTTCACCCATCTTACATAAACTAGTTTTTGTAATATATAAAATATATAAAAATATTATATTTATGAAAATCAATTTCTTGAATATAAATAACAGTGCTAGATCACACCTTTTAAAAATACATTTCAGAAATTAATATCAGAAAGAATTTTTTTTATCAAAAAAAATAGGCAAGCGGTGCAAAGAGAACAGAGAGAAAGAGAGTAAAAAAAAAAAAAAGTATGCTTATAGCTATTTGATAAATTTCGGCTTGTAGTTCAGTTAGGGTTGGTTGGGTTTATCTTATCCATTTTCGGTTGTTCTTGCATCTGGGTTTACTCTGTATATATCCGTTGGTTAATGATATATACACTTCCATTTTTTATAAGTACACATTTTTTATAAAAAAAAAGTTATTTTAAATTATTTTAATTTTTAATTTTACATTTTCAATATTTAATTTGTACCCTTTTTTTTAAACATTTTCTCTCATTTTTTTAATTTTCACATGCACCCTCCCTTACCTTTCATTCATTCAACCTATTTTGATAGGTAATTTTAATTTTTTTAATTTTATATTACTCTTTC